CCGGCAGCATTTGGAGTAGTGTCGAGCAGCGTACTCAGCGGTTGCAAGATGAGTCCATACACCAAAAAACATCGCAAGCTGTATGCCGTGACGGCGCTGTGCCACGCGACCATCACCAGTTGCACGCGGGCTGAGTATATGGCGAGGACGCCCACCCCTAAGCGGATTCATCGGTGACCTTATGGTTGCAAACTAGGCGCGCAGGCCACCGGCCGACGGTCCATACACCGCCTTCAAGGAGTCAAAGAACTCTTTATGTTGTCGGTGCTCGGCGTAGCATTCCATTTGCTCCGCCTTCTCCATCCACCATGCACTCTTGCTGCGACAGAGTTCTCGACTCAATCGCCGTCGACCTTAGCAAAAATGACTTCTTCTCTGCATTGGGAGGGTCATCTACATGTGCAGCGAATGCTGCATTCTTCTCCGACACCAATGCGCCAGTGATCGCACTCTTGTCCTCACACCACTCGAGCTGCTTACAGTTTGCTTGCCCGATGGTTTACTCGGCAGCAGCCACCTGATTATGAATGTGGTGCCACAGGTCACTCACTGATGCGTTGGATCGTACACCATCAAGGTGAGTAGCCATCGCTTTCTTCAGTCCCATCCTCTCATTGGTACCTAGGGAGAGAATATTAATCCTTTCGCACTTGCATTCTTGGGGTGATGATAAAAAATTCTTTTAACAGTTTTTCATTGATTTGGGGTGTAAGAATGCACTTAAACATTCTCCGCGCCGTCAATGGCTACATCATACAGGGCAATGTCTCTGCAGTGGACTGCATGCATCAGAGGTCACGAAAAACTGTGCATCTGTGGAACAAGCCACTTGTGGCCGTCCACTACAGTGACCTTTATGCGCGAAATGGCTAAATTTGCCGGTTCACCGCAGGTGAGCAATACGCAGATTTGCGAAACCGTATATACTATTTGGTCTTCATCAACTTGTGATCAGCGCCACACTCAGCCATGCGCAGTACATGTGTCATGCGCACTTCACGCATGTCACGCTGGCGTACGATGACATAGTCGTGCCGGTGAGCGCCATCTTTCCTTGGGTGCAACCTGTGTGTTCGTGATCATCAGACCGTGAGTGGCGCACAGTGAGAGTAGCCGATCATCGTTCCAGTTGGTTGTACCAATGCCATACGGACGGAACATATCTGACGCGCGCGTTGAAATAACCCATTAGGAATAGCCAGTTGCTCTTCGGCACAGACCCTATTACTAGAAAAACTGAGTGTAAACTGAATCCCTCATGTCATCAGGATAACACATGGTTGGCGGCATTCGGTTTCCGATTCGCCTGTCACTGTGGCCAGCCACAGGACGCCTGCGCCTACAGAGGGACCATGGATGGCTTGCGCTGCACCACCCACAGCTCCATCCACACACCACATATCTAGTGTAAACTCGAAGGAATAAGACCGGGAAGCATGTAGATGGGAGCCACGTTTCATCAACGGAGCCGGCCCACACTCATTCACAGACAAACACAGGATAACACATACGTTCTAATAAAAGTGGCAAACTTACCTCAACCAACTCACAGGCTGTGTCATCAGTCGTGCGCCGATACTAGTCGGTACTGCGACCAACTGGCCATTTAGGTGGTCGGATAATAAAAATACGACCCCATGTTCACGTGGTGCCGTGAAACGTGTAACCAGCACCAACCTCATGCACCTTGCCTTGGTCAGTGAGCCATCTCACTGAGATCAGCAGTGTCGATTCTGCAGCGCTCTAGTTCCATCGCGACCAATGCAGTGCGTCGCTCGGATCGCTCATACGTGCGCCAGCCGATTTGTGTGCGCACGTTCCAGCATTTATTGTTAAGAGGTTTGCGCAATGGTATGCGTTTGCGCCGAACACTTGTTAACTATCCGGGAATTATTGACGTTTTCACTTATTTCTTCGCTTCTAACTGCTACTCTTTCACCTTCAACTACTATACTATAATGATGATGATGTGGCGGCTCCACCTGTCATCCGCTTAATTTCATGATTTTGTTTAGGTCTGTTGTTTTTACTACCATTCCTACTATTGCTACTCTTTCACCCCACTAATTCAGCTTCTGTTCGCTGTCTTGTTCTCTTATTTTTCCCTACTTTTCCTATTTTATCACACCACTTTTATTTTGGCGCAAGCTTAGGGGATTTGTTTCCGCATTCTTATCTACTCAGCTCAGTGTTCAGCGCATTTCTCATTAGCGGCAACAGATCACTGATGCACTTTAACTGAATCTTGTCTTACTACTAATCCCTTTCGTAACATCGCTTCTTTGCCTGCGACGATACCATCCGGCATATTGTATTTTTAACCTACCCACTGGTATTTTTCAAAGTAGTTCTCTCAATGTAAGTAAAATGTCCCCCGAGAAACCATTATTGCTACAACGAAACAGTTCTGATTGATAAAGTTCGTTCAAGTCTCCCAAGAAACCTAATACGCCACGCAACTCCTCCATCTATTTGCAGATTAGACGAACTGGTTTATCACCGCTTCTTCCACCAGCTGATTTGGCTGTTTTGGCATTCAGATTTTCCCGGGTTGAGCCTTAAACACAAATAACACTAGTTTTTCTCATTGAATTTTCATCAACTCCACCTATTATTTTGATTGAACTTGTCAGTTCGGTGGGTGTGGGGTTGTCTCAACCGAAATCACACCAAATTTGAATGTCGTACCACGTATCTACTGAGTTTGTACTACCCGTGTTTGTTGCGTCAAGTTCTTCGCTCCCCGATTAGCCGCCTACGGTTGTAGTAGTGGTATTTGCCCAGAATGTACACAACTGTGTGGCGTACTAAGTGGCCATTGTATCTAGGGATGGAAATAAATCTTCAAGCGATGAACACTGATATTTGAAGTTTTCTTGGAGCCGCTCCACTGAACTCGTCGCTGGTTCTAAGCGCTAAAGGAACTGGATCAATCGCGGACTCGTTGGTATCCCCCAAGTTGGGCTCCTTCAATGCAGCAGTCACGCCGTCTGCTATCGCCTTCAACTGGTTTCATAGTTTCCCTCTCTTCTTTCCGTGTTTTTGTGCACTGTCCGTTTATCGAATATCATTGCTTTGATTTCGTTCTTGGAGCAAACAATGCTTGGAGTGTTTTATACGCCAGCCGAATGACTATTTAGCTGCAGCACAGCAATGCTAACAGAGAAGGGGTATTGCAAGTGAACACTAGTCAGAAGAGTAGTCTAAGTAACCACGAACAAGGATAACTTCACCAATCCAAATTTCCAGCTAATTATAATGTGACGAGATTATCGTCTAGCATAAACCATGATAGTGAAGGAATGATTTATGAATCGATAACGTATACACAGTCGTGTAGGTTAGTTTGGTCGAGGACGCTATGAAGGAGAGCGAGGGTCACTGGTTGTTACTTCCAACGCGGTTTTTCGCAGGATCTGAGGAATGTACTCCAAAATGCCAACAAGTTCGCTTTGAAGTATCTACACAGATATGTGTTTTAACGTATGACCAGGTTCGTTCATATTTGCATTAACTGGTGGCATAGGCGTGGAGGCTACTGCCCACGGCACCATCGTACCGTGTCCGAATCCCAGTCCTCTTGTCTTTGGCCTGCTGAGTACAGATTATCACGAAGCTAGTCGTGGAACGCAGTGCTTTGCGAGCGGGCAACGCGTAACCTTTACTTGGTTTCACCTACAATCCCATCGACCGAATTCACCAGAAATCTAACCGCGGTTCGCATTGCAATTACTTTTTTCCAACCGAATGCTTCAACATGACCTCCACTTAGCTTGGCAAGTGCTTTGAAATACTCGTTCAGGTAACCCAGAAATAATACACGAGAATAGAACGAGAGTAGAACACGAAGCGTCAAGCGTCCTAATACGTGGACGGATCTCAACTGAGCCACGTGAAACGGCGGTCTCTTTTGTGTGCGACTACTTCACGCGAAATGACTACGATTAGTTATGGCACTGTGTGAAGCTTCGGTACCACTCTGACGGATAAATTCGTCACCGATTTTAAGCGAGGGGACTACTTTACATGGGGAGAATAGAACGTCCTACAAGTGACGAAGTTTAGTAGACCTTGTGCGTTTGTCCGCATTGATTTGTAGCTTAGCTGAAAAGTCCGTGGCCTAATGGCGGACACCTATGTTCGGGTTATCTTCGTATTTCCATATAATCACAACTTTACTGCCACGTGCTGAGTCTAGAAGTGCATACAAAAATTTTGTTGCTTGACCAGAAACTCTTGATACTAACTCGTATACAGGCGGCAAAATAATCCCTCGGTGTAAAAATGATAAACGGTTGAGCTCCACAGTCGAAATTAGTTAATCGCAGTCCGCAGATTAGACAGGTCTAAGCATAGTCATTGTCGTTAAGACTGATACGCATAGATGACATTGAAGGTGGAACTAAGTATACGAACCTGGCCACACCTGCATAGATGGATCTGGGACTAGGATAAATAAACTGTTGTGGTCCATCTGGTCGTGTCTGGGTTATCATTCCTTCGAGTGTTTATCTCTTATATTTGCAATACTGCCGAACTGCACACAATGTCTCCTTTCTTTAGCACCGACATGATGCATGCCACCAACTTTCTGTACTGTTTCTCTCCAAAAGCAGTTTATCGGATGCAGTGTTTTCCATTCTCATAGAATTCTGCTTATCTATGTGTGTATGGATCGACGCTCTCGTCTCAGGGACACAGGAAGTCACCACTTGTTTTTTGCCATCTATTGTTTGTTTTACGGCCCGCATAGTACCATTGAATTCGAGCAGTTGTTGACATTGTACTCCTATGCCGTAGTCGCGTTTGTTATATTTTATTAATCAAACATATTCACACATATGACAACCACTTGCTCCTGATTAATCTTTTCCATCCGTATTATTTGGTTCGGCTACTGACTCACCCGTCTCGTGAAATGATCCAAGAAGTGAATGTCTCCACCTTTGCCTTCTTTTTACGCATCTCGTTCCTCTACACTACCATATTACCTCTTATAGACCGAAGATTGGTCGGCCATCACACCATACGCGCTGCAGTTTCTAACAGCCGAAGCTGTTCCTGCCAATCTGACTGGACTGTCTTCTCCCGGAGTCGTCCGTCACTCCTCTCGTCGGCTCACTTGTCCTCGACCCTTTGTGGACTCAAAACCTCGTGTGCATCAGTGGTCTTGGCTCTTGGCCCCACCTCCCCCAAATACATCCACAGCCGATTCCCAACTGGCTGAGAAGTTCGACCTGGAACTCAAAGAGCTAAGTGATATGTTCACCGAATGGCTTCGCGCCCCACGCGGTCTCGGTGGGCTGGCTGACGCAGAGTGGATGGCTAGCTCGTCCGTGGCTGCAACGGGTGTCGCCGGCCGTCGTAAGAGCAGTTCCAAGGTGGAAAAGAGTTCCGGTTCGGCGGATGAGCAGTCCAAAGAAAGCGATGACTCTGGACGTCTGCAAATCATTGGTGCCACATCGGACTCGGACAGTGAGGAACCGGACCATAAACGTGATCGCAAGTCGAAAAGTGCGGGAAAGCGCCGCCCACATGTGACCACTACGGTGTTGGATGACACAGTCCCTCTACCCCTTAGGTGCGGATGATAACGACCTGTTTTACGCAAGGGTTGTTTGTCTACGTGTTCCATTTTGCACCCATTGCTGTCCTGTGTCAATTCCTATGTCCAAACAAGCAATATCGGTTATGCACATCGCGCTTCAATAGCATAGCTTATTTTCCTGTTTAGTCAGAGACCCCCTGTGTTACGCAAATCCAAGCGGAGGTCCCTGTCTATTGAGATGTACACTGCCACTCATCTGCTCGCTTACTTAAAGCGTTGATCACCACGTTGCGTATACCTACTTTTGAGGCGATGGTGTCTACTTTGATCTACGTTAATCCAGTTCCGCGGTTACTCCACTCAACACGAGTCTGGTTCTTTTTGCACGCTCTCATTTACCCCCGTCCACCGTACTAACATTACTGGTCTCTGTCATATATTCTAGCTCAAGCTTAGTCTGATTATTTTATCGCTATTTTTGAATAACTAGCTCTCCAGTGTCGTCGTCACTGAAGACCGTTTTTATCATTTTATTCTGGGTCTTATTGGTCATTAGTCACCAACTGACCTACAAAGACAACGCAAAACGGGATTCTTTGGCTGTTCGCTTTGTCAGGGTAATTGATTAATTTGAGACTCATTCCTCTTCACCCACATCACTTGTCATCCTGCTATCCTTCGGACGTAAGCTTTAAACTCATGGTTTACCGGGCTTATGTGTACCAGTATACTGTATTCTTGGTTATATCCAGATTTTTACCCGCTCCGTTGCACTTCTTCCTGGTTGGTTCGCAGATCGAGTAACCAAAATTGAAAAGATAATTGAGCGCTTGCTGATTGAAACGCCACCGCTGGGTACATTTGCAAGTGTCTGTGGCTTCCAACATTTTTGCGGTCCTGTATCGAATGACCGAAGTTCCCGTAACTACCCTCCACTCTCTACGTTAATTCCACCAATCGGAATCACGACATCCGATCAGTACTATCTTCTTGGTCTCGTTCAGTTGCACTCACTCCGTTCATAGCACTGTCTCAGAGCACTTATCAACAGCGCTATTCCCTTTGAGCCTTCTCTGTTGAATGCAACAGAGAGGGAGAATTATTTCACATGACATAACAGTGTATCGATTAACGATACTAAATGACTATCTTTAATTGCATTTCAGGGTTACCATGTGAGCGGATCTGATCAGTTGTGCAGCTAGCTGTTCAGTAGGTGTGCGTTAGTCGAGTACTGGAATGTCGAATTAATTTTGCGCTAACACAGCGGTTCAGTGCATTCCGCACTCATGGGGCTGACCCATCCCTCCCCGCCGTCATCCTAGTAAGCGATTATCCGGCCGTCACTTTTAGCCATCACATGGCGGTGCTGCTTTGTATTGTACCCCCACTTGGAAGAGGCTTAGTAAATGGAGAAGGCCCGTCCTTAGTACTGATACGCTAATGCAACGTCGATTACATGTGCCTTCTATGACAATCGGCCCATCACAGGCGATCAACTGATTACTTTCATCACTTTCCTTCCTAGACATTGGCTTCCTGGTTAATCGTCAAGTGTTAGCTCTTTCAGCGCACTGTTCTGCGTCCCCATCCGGTTGCGTTGCTTCTTCGTAGAACGAGTGTCAGTTATGTGATTATAAGCAAGTGATATGTAGTTCCTGGAACGCCGTTTTTCAGATGTCCCACGCTTCTTTGCGACATCAGCTGCCAGTCTTCATCCTCGTAGCTTAGTGATGCAGTTAGATACGCGTTGACTAGCCATTCGAATGCCCCGAGCTTGTTACCCGACTCCTGTTATTCAGTTCTTATTAGTTAAACAACCTGGGAAACCCTAAGTTCATTCGCACACATGCAGTCATTCATTTGGATGTACATCCTGCTCTCCCCAACTGAAAAGCATGCACAATAAAATCGATGATGGAGTGCTGTATTCGGAGTGAACGACACCACATTCTCTTTCGAAATGTTCAGTGTTTACTTTATAGTTACTCGCTGTCCATAACGAGACTCTTTGTCGTCATCCAAACACGGCGTGTGTCCCAGAACCAAGCAATGACGGAGGTCTTTTCTAACTACCCGGAGTTTGACATATCTACGGCACTTGCTGGTCATTATCCAATGACTATGTGGCCCCTGTGGTCTGGCCTAGACGGTGTGCCGAATACTTTCACCGCCCTCCGTTATTGAACCATTCCATTTGGTTTGGCATGGCCGGGAAGTAGGAACGGGCACATTTGCTTAATTTTGCTGATTAACACCGAACGTGAAATATCAGCTGTATGTCGACCCCTCTTATTTTAAATTTTCTTGAGTACTTCTTATTCTAATCTGCTTTCAGTCCAACCACATGGAAGCTTCAACCGTTCACTCCTGAGCAAAAGCGGCTTTTTCAGCAACAGGTATGCACATGACAACGTTTCCCTTTTTAACCCAGTTAAAGTATGCTCTCACTGAATTTCACACGCTTTGTACATTGCATGGACCCGAATTACTCTGTCCGATTTGCTCAATGGTGAGCAGAAATTGCGTGCTGCTTATAATTCTAAGGTTAGACAGGATAGTTTTGCGATCCTGGAATCGAGAGACGCCCTTGTTTAAATCGCATTGGTTTGCTATACCTTCATCCACCTTCCAATAATCAGATATAAAGGCATCAGCAGCATGTCGGTTCCTCGCAGCGACGCTTCGCAGCCACCATCAGTCGCGTGTAGGTGAGGGACACTGCTGGGTCGACCGTACCTACGCAGCTTCAAATCGGCCACTTGCCGACAAGACTCAGATATATGTTCCTTACAGTTATAAACACAGCTGTTCTTCTGCATTCCCGCGTGCATGAACCCCCATATGGCGTGCACTATTCAGACCTGGTAGTCTTGGAAGAAGCGCGATCTCGCTTTCCTCGGTTCCAAGTATCTTCCGCCATTTTAAATCGCCTAACGATGTTAAGGGCTTGTTCCATCCCCCGTAGCAATCTAAACGGAAAGTCACAGTTGTGCATAACAAAAGGTATTGTTGTCTACGGAGTGATCTCATATTGACTCAGCAGATTTTGTGAATACTCTACTCACCTTTTCTGCTACCTCCTAAAACTTGGTCACAACGCCAGCTGACCGCGCAGTATAGTCCCTTGAAATGTTCTCTGGATTTTCTCCTTCTCATTTATTAATCATCGAACGCTCTTCCTATCTGTTTCCTTTATGAGCCCGCGTTCTATGTGTTTAAAAAGCGATTCGACGACACCCAAACCACTTGCACTATTCAGTGAATGACACGCATTCACCCAGTGTGGACGTAAACAAGTAAACTCCCTATGCTCTTCAGTTTTTCATGAAATCAAGGCAGATGAGTCCACACATTCGTGTTGATGTGTATATCATAGTGCATCTGCAAATGTACGATCTACCTCATTGGCAACATTCTTCATTGAACTTATGCTCTTCGTCTAGACCACCCTGTGGAAATTCTTATGCTTCACCTTTTCTGCCCGTATTAAACCATAGTCTTATTGTACCCCAAAGTTGCATACCTGCATTATTGACCATATGATGCCCGCATAGACGTAGTTGTCTGCTACTTTACGGATTGATGGGATATCTGCCTCTAAATTCACACTGATGCTTGCGCAGTGACCGGCAACAGGTATCCACCGATATTCCCTTGTTGGTTTTGTCTGTTCTACGGTGTTTACTCCTGTCGAGCTTGCTCTTTGAACCTTGCTGCATAAACACTACGTCTCTTTGTTTTTTTCTTCTGCTTAATGCTGCGACCGTACTTTATTCCAGGTGCATGAACTCACCGAATGAGTAGCACCGGGAAATTTTACCAGCCAGAGTGCTTTATTACTGCGTGTTGCGTGGTGTGGATGTTTCATTACCCCTTTTAGTCATATGATTTTATCCTCGACTTCACCGCAAGCTGTTGTGAGCTACCTTGGGGCTTCTCACCTACTCATTCCTGTCATCCAGAAGCTCTTCGAATTGTCCTAACATGCATACCTAAGTAATGTACTGCATACCAACAATTTTTAACCCCTTTGCCTTATCACTACCCCGTTTCCCATCCATACTGTTGTACAGACGAGCGCCCGAAGTATGTGCGTTCCATTTCCGGATACCAGCGACAACGCCGCTCACGTTTGACTGTTCGATCTTGCCGTTTTTTGTAGCGCTTGGACTGCGTGTAACGATTGGCGGAAAGACCGATCGCACCTTCAGCAATTTGTTATCCCAGGAGAAAACAGGATTCTTACACAGGTTGGGCCGTCTCACAATGGCCCATCATCTATAGTCGCGCTTCGCGTGGTGTACATCCTATATCTTACATCTCGCAAACATATCGATGAAGCTCTCCTATGTGTGTCTCTAGCCAGCATATGCGATTTGGTTTGTCGTCTTTTCCTTGCTACTTCCAGCTGATTTCATAGCTATATGTGCGGCTCTTTTGCCAGAAGAATTAGTTTTGAACTAATAACTTATTGTCGCATAAGTTTTAAGGACAAACGGTTTATTCGGTACAGTCGGTTATACCAAAATAACTTCTGAACATACATTGTTTGTCCTCTTACATTAGCAACGACACTTTTGGGCCCAGAAGAGTCCCCTTTAACTAAATCAAACAATATAGGAGGAAGGTCAGCCAATCAGCGGAAGCGCTTACACGGGCGATTACGTAGTCTGAGTTCGGTCACCAAATGCGTTAGATTCGTCTCTTCTTGGTTGTCTGTCATTTTCGATGAACCCATCTGTTCACCATGACTGGACATTTCCATCACACAGATGACACGCAGTTCTCCGTTTAGTGATTTTACCATACACTCCGTCTAAAAGAGAGTTAGCCACCGGTAAGAGATTCGTAGCCAACTTACTTGCTTCAAGTAGAACTCCTGACAATAGTCACGAAGGTACACAAAATCGTCGGATGGCCTGTTACATGTGTGTCGTCCGCTAAACCGATGAGCAAACACAGACACATACAGATCGATTGATCGATAGCTGATTCGTCCACTCTTGCTCCTTGTGCTGATTGGTTCCTTTTCGACTTATTCATCTGGTGTAACCTACAAGCTATTTATTACAGTTTTTGACACGTCCCATCCGGTGTGTGTTCTTATTCACTTCTTGCGCGGACTAAGGGTCCAGGTGCGATCCGGCAATACTCGAGTAATACGTATCAGAATGGCGACGGTTGCTACGAGCCCTCTTGCTGGACTGTCATGTCTGTGGCCTGATGGTGCAGAAAAACCCTCTCTACAGTCGTGGATACAGTGGGAAACATCTTTCCAACATCAAATGACTCTCTTTCCTGTGTTAAACCCCTCTATCGTGTTATCCGATACCCATTGGATTATGTTATTCCGCCAAGCCCTTGGATCAGAAGGACAACGTCATTTTGACGCTATGAACTTGATGGCTAAGACCAGTATTGTGCACGTGATCCAGTTGTTTGAGGAATTGTGGGGAATCCAACAAAGTGTGTTTTCCGCTCGTTATCAGTTTTTCAAGCTACAGCAACGATGCGGAGAAAGTGTAAATGATTTCTTCGCCCGCATTCATCAAGCTACACCGGAATGCCGGTACAATACCATTCCCTCAAGTCTGTTTGAAGAAGTCATGAAAATCCAGTGCCTAATTGGTGGAGTTACAGATGATGGTGCAAAGGAAAAATTATTGTCCCAGGAGGAAGAAACCCTTTCCTGGGAAATGACGTGTAACTTTGTACGTCAAAGGGAAAACCTAAAATCCCAACTATCCACCTTCAACCCTCCTCAGCCTGTGGAATGTGTAAACAAACTGTCACCACGGTTATCCTCTGAAAACAGGGTACGGAAGTTCGTCTGCTACCGATGCGGGGATCAGCACACTTCTCCCACCCAGTGTCCTCATACTCGCACAAAGGACAGGAATTGCGGAAAACTTGCCCACCTGGCACGTGTTTGCCGTTCCCCACGGTCACAAGTCTCGATCTAATCATTGAACTCCGACGACGGTGAGTGCCCAGATTCCCAGCTAAATTTTATGAACCATATAATTTCAAACTGCTCAGTTATGACGAAAGTGTCTCCATATAGGATCACGCTTCATGTTAATAACGAACCTGTTTTATTTGCATTAGATACTGGTTCCGCGGTGACATTGATTAGTAAAAACGCGCTCTCATCTTTACCCGACCTGGAACCGACTGATACCGTTTTTAGAACCTATACAGGAGAAGTGATTGATTTACTTGGGAAGTATCAGGTACGAGTGCCGCATCAGGGTAGATCACACAGTCTGGTACTTCATGTCGTGCCTCAGGCTCCAGTCAATTTGCTTGGTCGCGATTGGATGAAAATGTTACCACAAGTATTAAATACTATCCACTCCGTGGGGGAGGATACCTTTGAATCGGTCCTTAAACGATATCCAGAAGTGTTTGACGAGCAGCAATTGGGCAGACTCAATAATTTTAAAGCAAAAATCCATATGTCAGACTCAAGTACACCAAAGTTCTTTAAGGCCAGAACACTGCCCTATTCCTTACGACCTAGAGTGGAAGACGAGCTGAAAAGGCTTCAAAGAGAAGGTATAATTGTACCAGTTCAACAAGCTGAATGGGCGGCCCCGATAGTGCCTGTACTTAAGCCCGACGGTAACGTACGAATCTGTGGTGATTATAAGCTTACAGTAAATCGAGGTGCCATCATAGACCGTTATCCATTATCGAAAATTGAGGGTTTGTATGCCAACTTGTCTGGAGGAGTCAAGTTCACTAAATTGGATTTGAGTCACGCCTATTCGCAGGTAGGGTTGGATGAGACCTCCCGACGTCTTACGACGATCAGTACACATTTGAGAAAAATCGAATACACTAGACTGCCTTTCGGGATTAACTCAGCGCCGGCGATCTTCCAAAGGATAATTGACAATATCGTGCGTGACATACCGAACACTTGCGCATATCTCGATGATATCCTTATCACGGGTCGCACAGAAAAGGAGCACTTGTACACGTTGGACCGGGTGTTGCATAAACTCTCTGAACACGGTTTGCGTTTGAAAAGCTCCATATGTGCTTTCCTAGTTGATTCAGTTGACTACCTCGGTTATAGACTGGACAAGCATGGTTTACACGCGCGGAAAGATCAATTACAACCCATTATTTCTGCACCCTCACCTCGTAACGGAGCCCAGTTACGCTCGTTCGTTGGAATGCTTTCACATTATCGTCGGTTCCTACCTAATCTTGCTTCTGTTCTAGCACCACTTCACAACTTGCTGAAAAAAGATTCTAAGTGGGCATGGGGCGAGGAAGAGCAACAAGCATTTGACAGGGTAAAAGGTCTCCTTGCTTCTTCACCAGTCTTGGTACATTACGACCCCAACAAACCCCTCATCCTACAGTGTGATGCTTCACCTTTTGGAGTCGGGGCAGTGCTGGGACATAAAGTCCACGACGGAACAGTTCGCCCTATTGCTTTCGCGTCTCGCACATTACAACCTGCTGAGAAAAATTACGCACAATTAGACAAGGAAGCACTGGCCGTAGTATTCGGAGTAAAGCGGTTCCATCAGTACTTGTGGGGCAACCAGTTTGAGATACAGACTGACCATAAACCACTGTTATCACTTCTCGGTAAGGAACGAGGCATAGAACAACTTAACGCACCCCGAATGGTACGCTGGGCCCTCCTACTTTCTGCTTACAATTATCAAATCCGATACATTGCCGGTCCTCACAATAATGTCGCTGATGCGCTCGGTAGATTGTCACAGATTGACCAACAAGAGGAAAGAAGTGACGCGCCCTACGAGTTTGTCCAACTTTTGCAACACCTAAATACTACACCCATATCTGGCGACATGGTTAGGAATGCTACAGACAGAGATTCCGTTCTGTCGACTGTGAAACGTATGCTGCTGCGTGGCTGGGGTTCGCGAGCCCCTGGTGATCTGCGTCCGTTTTTCAATTGTAGATTTGAGCTGAGCCTGCATGAAGGATGTATCCTACGTGTATCTCGCATCGTTATTCCATTGACTCTCAGGTCAGTTGTACTGAAAGAATTACATGATGCACATCCAGGTATTGTCCGCATGAAAGCCCTCGCCAGATCCTACTGCTGGTGGCCAGCGATTGACCGAGACATCGAAGCACTTTTGAGTACTTGTAACACATGCCAAAAATATCAAATAGATAATCTGACAGGCCCAATTCACCCTTGGCAGTTGCCCGACAGCCCATGGGAACGTGTCCATGCCGATTACTTTGGCCCGATCGAAGGAAAAATGTTGCTACTTTTAGTAGATGCATACTCCAAATGGATTGATGTGCATGTTGTTGCAAACGCTACTGCAGAAGCTACAATCAATGGCGTACGCTCTAGTCTATCTACACATGGCATACCAAAAACATTAGTCACTGACAACGGTCCGCAATTTACGAGTGCAGCGTTCAAAGAATACCTGCAGTGCAACGACGTTCATCACATGACTTCCGCACCGTACCATCCAGCGTCAAACGGTTTAGCTGAAAGAGCGGTCCAAACCGTGAAAGCTGGTCTTCTAAAGCAGCGTAATGGCTCGTTACGAACCAAACTTGACCGATTCTTGTTCGCATATCGGATCACACCGCTAGAGTCTATCGGAAAGAGCCCTGGGGAGGCAATGTTTGGGCGTCGACTACGTACGAGGCTAGACCTACTTTTTCCAGACCCCCGTCAGACCAGGCTTTGCCAGCAACAACGTATGCATGAAAGTGGACGCGCACCAGTTAAGCCCCAGAAGTCGATAGTGGAACGTGATGTTTACACGAAACTACCACATGAGCAGTTATGGCAGCCTGGCACCGTGCTTACGAGCTCAGAAACGGAGGCCGAAATACAACTAGAGAGTGGAGAGACAGTACGCAGGCACAATGATTTCATCCGGCCCCGCACCCCAGTCACACCGTACCCTGGGGAAGAGAAAGTGGTTCCAGAAGATCTGGAGGAGACAAACAAAAACCAAACGGAAGAAATCGATCAGCCGATTGATATTCGGAAACCGCACCGCTCACCTAAGCCGATAGAACGTTACATTTCACAACTGTGATTCCATCTGTCACGTGAGGGGATGTTACATGTGTGTCGTCCGCTAAACCGCTGAGCCGATGAACAAACACAGACATATACGGATCGATTGACCGATAGCTGATTCGTCCACTCTTTTTCCTTGTGCTGATTGGTTCCTTTTCGACTTATTCATCTGGTGTAACCTACAAGGTATTTATTACAGTTTTTGACACGTCTCATCCGGTGTGTGTTCTTATTCACTTCTTGCGCGGACTAAGGGTCCAGGTGCGTTCCGGCAATACTCGAGTAATACGTTTCACGGCCGACTCACCGCTGCCCGCCCTCAGTTGCCTAGCACGAGAGGCTATTCTGTCATCCACGCTATAATGAAGTCAGTCGCGTCACGTAGGCATTAATTTGATAACCATGCCAGCCTTCGGACCTCACTGTGATCTAGTGGTATAAGCCCTTACATACAAGAGTTAGCTGGCAATTTGGATCCCTGCTGACCGCAAAGTGACAAAACGGTCCTCTAATGTTTTTCACATGCTAGTGGCTATCTGACCGCTCTATGGGGTGACCGAGCCAAACTGGACACTTGACTTTGAACTAGTCGTCATTCCATATAATGATTCAACTATTTTCCGCAGTTTTTCGCTCCTTTCTTTGCTCGGTTTCTTTCTCTTTTTCTTCCACTGTTGTTATTTATTATCCTTACGACGACGCGATCCGTGGAAACTGGGCTCGCGGCACATTTATTCCTTTAGTGCTTTTTTTACTTTATCCGACATTAACGAAAAGAGGAGTTCAGTCGTTTATTCTTAAATTCCGGTGAACTCCACTCACGCCTTGAGATTCAGGTACACTGATTTTTTCAGTCCAAAAGCGTATCCAGTTGCTTATCCGGTGTTGCTCTGACGAAATTGTATGCGTACCTTCCCCGTCCCCATGAACTGCTGTGCATCGTTTTATTTGCATCCATGTGCGCTTCCCATGTTATGTACAGTTGTTTTTACGTTTTTATATCAGGAAGCTGATCGCTTTCTCCGCCCTTGGCTTCCCTTCGTTTACCATATTCAAGACTATACCTGTGTGGTTGGCCCTCTGCGCTCAGCTTCCACCATTGCTGATCAGCGTTCCACATCGGTCCAGCCCGGATCACAAGCAAGAGCACGTGACCATCCGCTTCTGCGTCCCGACCGTCCGATTCATGTGAGCTTGGCAGAAATTGTACGCGATGCTGTTGCTTGCTTGCCCAACGGAGAGGGTACGCGAGCGGACATCACAGTACTGGTCCAAAACAGCGGATATCTCCTTCCCACGGTGAATCATCGCAAGGCAAGTAGCTCCCATCTCCTCATATGCTTCTACTGCAGTTGTGCGGTTGACACTTGATTGGGGAGTCAGAGACACCGGCTGTCTCTTAGATCTTCGACGAATTTTGATCATGCATATTTTTCGAACGGTGCTGATCGTAGTCCTTTTGGGGTTCCTTCAAGACTGCAGGCTTCGGCTACCTCTTAGTACATTGTGCGTCGCATCTGAATATATGGTATACGCTGGCGTGCTTTCGGGTCCCAATAACAGGGAGCTCTCGTTCCACTTCCCATATGACTTGTTCGATAAGCTGAGGAGGGTATTTCCATTGTATTAACGTTCGTCGTTATCTTATCGGGGAGTATTTTGCCAAATAGTTGGTCCGACATCATATAAACTTGGCAAACTATCTCGAAAAGGATTCACATCAATCTCATCCTTCTTTACCTACAACCAATAGAACGGCAGTCCCGACCGCATTATCGTCTGTAATCCAGTTCATCTCGATATTTTGCCTTTATTTTGCCAACACTGTTCACATCGGTGAAATGATCTTACTTGTCTGACTGTACTGCACTGAATTTTTGGTGGACATGGGAAAACTACTGTGAGTCCAATGTGCGGCAAAAGCAGCTTAGCCCGCACCCCTGTTTCAAGGCACTGCATTTAAGTAAGATCATGTATCCTCAAGTCACAGCTCATTTATAATTTCGGAGTGATGACTTGGAGATGGGCAAGGGCTATCGGTCGATGCGTCTCCACTGGTGGGTCTGAATTTCCGGAATCGATCCTCGTTGCTTATCCCAATAAATAAACTAGGAGTTTGCGGTAAGATGTGAATTCGAAGAAATGTCTGTATGCTTCGTAAACATATAATCTTCATCCGACCAATTAGTGCACTGGAATATCACCGTCATGAGCGGACATCTCCCAAATTTATTGCTTGGTCGCAAACCAAAATCACTCAGGTTCTTCTTTTTCTTGTTTACTACTGGTCTCAAGGATATTCTGCCACTGTAAAATGTTCGAAGAAGCTCACGATTTCTCTCTTGCTTACCATTAAAGAGTGGCCTAGTACTGGTGTGACTGACAGTTTCCGTACATCATTTTGTGGTCTGCCAGCAAGAGTTAGCTTGATTATAGTCTGCAACTCGTAAACTAGCAGCGTGCCACTCCTCATCACATTTCTCTCCGTTTTCTAAAACGCTTCATCTGTCTTGTGACATCGCAAATTCGACTTCCAAGTCATGAGACCAACTTCCTGATTGCTCGCACTTTCTATTTTTTATCCAAACGCTGAACAACCCCCTTTGGCGTAGATATGGTGTCTTTCGTGTGCATGTGCACGATGAGTCTTGGTCGGGGCTTCAGATGTCATCCCACCAATCACAGTACCCACTCCATTCTTTCCGTAAAGTTGTTCTCTGACATTTCCAGTCACATATTCTCTCTGGGCTAGGCAAACAGATAACCTACAGGCTCTCCGCCATTGTACGTACCCGTAAAGCTGTGATCACGCTGTTTTTGTTGGCATTGATAGCCATGTTTCACGTTCCACAGTGACCACGTTTTAGCGGCCACTGTTGTCCAAGTGTGCCATAGGACCAGATTCGTGTTTAACATTTTGGGGAACCTGACTGTCTAGGCACTTATCCGTTATTGCTGCGTTCGAAGACGCTACTCTTCAATATCTTCACTTGTCGTGCTAGATGCGTAGGTACACATCTCGTACTCCGTTCAGCTTCTTGCGACTTCTTTCATCTCGCCACTTGTGCAACAAAGTGTTGGTACCATTAGAAATTGTTTGACTATGCATGAACTGTCTGCCATAGGACAGATCTATCCGGTCCGCTGATATGAGTAGTCCTTACCGTAGGCTATATGATGTCACGGGTCCTTTGTATTCCGTGACGTAGATGTCCTCTTCTACCTACCTAGTAACATGACAGCTTTTGTCACTGGATTGTGCAGAAAGGAGAATATCGCGTCATTCAGCTAACCGTTAAATAAGATCAGATGCTCGCTAAGCCTGGATGCTTTGTCGTTTTACTTACGCCCAAAATGCATTACACAGCTGGTGGATATAGTAATTACGGATAAATACATCATGATGACTGGTTGATAACACCATCGATAATCTAACCCAGTCTATTGGAAGCTTCCAATTGCTCCTCTGGGACGCTATTCTCATATAACAGTAGCATCTCACGGACGGAAATTGTAAAGAAACACCACTCGCTTCAACTTTACTATGCCCATTAAATTTTGCTATGTCAATCATGGTTATGTCAACCGAAGCTACGATTGAGATTGCGTATCGCAATCCAAGACACACGGCAGGTACTCTAAAATCCAACGTTCAACTTTTCACTGCTGTGTCAAGCGGTGCTCTCTGATCTCAATGGCCTAGTGATTACGGTGATAGCCGCCAACCACTGTGTGCCGAGTTCCACTCCCGGTTCAGGCTATCTCTACTGAATGAGTCCAAATAACGAAACCGGTCCGTCGTGGAGTGCATTGATGGAAGAGAGCCACACCGAAACCCTCCATGCTTGTTTCTATTCATCCTTGTCAGTGCGTTTTGCTAGTCGGACGGTACCAATGGTAGCGGAATTTCGGACGGCACCATGTTTTGTTGGGGCTCGGTGATATGACCAATGGTTTCTGTCCTATCTGCCAGTTTTACACGCTTGTCGGAGTGCAAATGGACAAATTCCATCGGGATCTGTTTGCCTTTGAGATCTGCATGTGCGTTCTATATATTACGCTGTCCTTCGTACATTCCCTTATGATGGTTGTTTTACGATACTGAAACATGATTATCATGCTACACAAGGGACAGACGTTAGGATATAACAACTGCACACTGTTTCCTTACTCTGTGTTACCCTTTCTTTCCACCACAGCTTCAACAGTGCGTCAGCTCGGCGCTGGATCGCTTGCAAGGCGAAGCTGCGGACCCATCAGTGTATTATAACGCGGCTCGCCGTGTGTGGGTGTATCGTCACAGAAACAGAACGCCAGAGGAGTTCGGTAGGTTTCTCACCGTCTGCGGTTGTGCTTGCTTGTGCCTGCGTACGTCACGGATCACCAATGGAAAGGTCGCATAACTGAATGGATATACCTGTGGAATTTAAGGGATACGGCATCCAGGAATGGAGCGGTTACTACTTGCGAACGTTCCTATGGGGGAGTTGCCACATTGAATTCGACATCAGGCGAAACGATAATATAAAATACTGCCCTCATCATTGGGCGAGATGTTTGGGAAGAATGCGGATGAAATGGGTACGTTGCGCGTGGGTACCGCGTGCCATAGCATACGTTAAGTACATATTCCAAGGTCCCTTGAGGCGGAGTGGACTGTTATAGAACACCGAGAAACCCATTTATACTGCTCACTGTTAAGCGTAATCAGATCAAAAATGGCTCTGCATCCATTTCGTATTTATTCATTTACCTTGACGTAATGATTGAGGAGTGCACTGCTCCGATTCCATGTAGCATAACTGGTTTCGTGTAAGAGGTTTTTTTGTTCGGCTGTATTGTATTGAGTAGATTGGCGACCGTCCCAAAATGTGCTGCGTTTTGACGTTTAACCTTGAACGCAAAAGCTACTTTTACAGTTCTCTTTGAACTGTTCTTTCGTTCCTATTGTGAACGATCATTCTTCCTAGTATTGGTTGTACTGCTGCACTACTTCGCCTTTGAGACTGAGACTGCATGTCTGCTCAACCACGCGCCCAACCAACGGAAAGAAATCAAAAACCCAAGGCTCGGTAGACAGGGTATATACTACAGAATAAATCGTCTCTATTTGTTTTTGAACCATACGTATTGATTTTGAAAGCATGGTCACCCGACCTTCGGCGTCTGGCCCTCAGCCAATGTGAACGAGTTCCGTCCCACTGGCTTACCATATTTGGCAAAATCGTTCGCTTCCTTGTTCGACTCCGCTCAAATCCCGGACGCCGGCTTGAATTCGCTGGCTAATCAATTCTCGCCAAATTTGGCACAACAGGCGAACGCAGTTTCACGCCTATGCGCGTGGCCTTCACACGCAGTTGACTGATCACGTGCAAGCTGACGCGCACTGTAGCCACCGCGCGGGGTTGCCGCCTTGTGAGCGGACATTGACTGCACCTGGTCTCTACTAATCTCTTCAGTATAAACCTCCATTTTGGCTCTTTTTCGTGTGCCTCAGTTTTGCTTAGTTGCGGTCGCGAAAACCGGTTTGCTCGACGATGCGGCTCGAATTCTGTTTTGGTGCAACTAACCGAGGTCGATATGAGTTGCCTGCTGTTTGATATTCAACCTAGCTATCTTTTGCAATACATTTGGTAAGCGGGATGTGTCCTTTGAACCATCTTACTGATTTACTTCTAATAGATTGAGCACATCGAAATTGCCGAGCTCATTACCTAATTGCCCTGGGGTACATTACATGATCACCGTGGAGTCCTGTTATGGGCTGAGTGCCAGATATTTCCTATTCAAAATGACTTGATGCACCGGTATTCCAAATTGATTGTTCCTTGGTTTACCTGTTCAAAAGTTACTTGTTAATCGATCACAAATCGACGACCAAAACATTTGACCCAGCAGCACACCGAGGAAGTCACCTCGTTTGGTGATGAGACCTTTGCATACCAATTGCGAAGCTCGGCGAACAGGTGAACCCAAGATATTTCTTGTTTGCAAAATATTTTTTCCGCATATTAACCTTTCATTCCTTCTCCCCATTGTAGCCGCGCTGCATGAAGCCCGTTGCGCGGTGAATGAAGCGAAAAAGTCCCTTCAGCGTGGTGAGGTTTGCACTGGCACATCGACCAAGTCTCACAGTGGTTCATTGCAGCTACATCCCCACGACTCCGAATACCCACGCATTCCCTATGGGACGAGTGCCCGTGCAAGAATACCGCCGCAAGATGACCACAGTCTTTTGCAGAGGCATCTCGGGATACATCGATCTGACATGGGGCATTTGTACCAGTCGGACGAAGACGCACAGTCGGACTTACACATTCCAGATATTGAAGAGTTGGAGGCCGCTGATATGATGAGGCAAGCTCGGGGGGAGCTTTCCGACTACTCTGAACAATATTCATCATATGATGATGAGGAGATTGATCAAAATGATGATTATGGTGACGATGCGGACTCTGTCTCGAGATACATGCCTGAGGGATTGTCGCAGGACGGTCGTATAAAACGATCAGCATCCGAAGAGGATTATTTGTATCCTTCTTCATTTGAACGAATTCCATTGAAACACTGTCGGGAGTCAACGCAGCAGGCCAGACAGCCACAAACATTTCAGATTCAATCTCCACAGCATTATTTACAGAATGAGGAAAACTTTTTAGAATTGCATAAATCCATCCGCAGATAACATTCGTGGTTCATCTTTACTGTATTGCCACTGTTACTGCACATAACCCGTGGAACATTGTCTTGTTCTTACTCTACATATATATATTCATCCGCCTTCATTTCTATACATTTTTCCTGACCAGCTTTCTCAGCTTATAAAAATAAAGGAATCTAGCCTACTGCGCTTTCATCTACCCATGGAATTTACTAAATAGCACTTGTAATTTAGAAGATATTGGCAGCTCAGGTTGTTGTTGGTGGTCTGAGATTTCGTTGAGCTCAGCAGTTTGGTTGCAAACGTTCCGTCATCACTCGCGATGACATCATCAGTGCGCATTTATGTAGCTGGGCGGCACGACACGAAGCGTCAGTGAGTGTGAATGATCGATCTTCTAGCCGCCATTCTGAGTTTGGATCGTTCGACGGGCACATGACCATAAAAATTGAACTCTGATTCTTGCCTCGTAGCGTACGCGCGCGTGCCTCTTCGGTTGTCATCGTTGTTTGACGCATTTTCCGGAGTTCTGTACCGTTAGATTTAGTCGACTAATTTGGTGATCTTTCATCCGTAGCGCTGCATATATAGCATCTATTTCAACGCCTCGGTTTATTGAATTGTCTGTAGTATACCGTACTGCCATGCTAGAGAGTTTTTGGAAGCAAGAAAAGACTTCATTGCTAGGACTCTACTGGTCAACGGTTACCATACTGGGTTTGTCAAGAAGTACTCCGTAGTCCCTGAATCTGTGCTCAGGGCCAGAAAGAAAGACGATCTTTTCTCTGTTTCCTTCAAAGAGGATATCCCCTTCGAGTTACTTACTAGAATGCTGTCTTCTGTGCTAAACAAGACATATCCGGCAGCTCAAGTTCACGTCCTTGCCGAAATATCTCTCATCACGCAACGTCTCAAAGATGGACTAAAAATTAAGTCCGAGTCCGTTGCACTATGTCCGTCCGCCTGCATCTGTGGTGCTAGGTACATCTGACACACCGCTCGGCGTCTAACAAAACGCATAGCAGAGCGCTGCGCCGCCTTCTTACATCATGGAATTCAGAAAAGTGTCTTGTGTTCCATCATCAATGCCGAGTTAACGAATCATTTAAGCTACTCCTAGTTGCCTCGGGGAGATACACAAAGGGACTCAGAAGACGCTTCCTGACTATACCTGAATTTCTTGCTGTCAGACACCCACAGCCAAAATGACGCCATTCGCGAACTCTCGCGCAAATGACAATTTTGCCTTGGCCCTCACGCAGTAAAGTGGCATAAAGCCCACCGGTCCATCGTGATTTCCTAAAGCCAGAACGAACAACATTTGTGCGGGATAACCTGAACTCAAGTTATTTCGTGTCTTCTCATTCAGCCGCTTACAGACAAATCATGGAAAGAGTAAAGCAATGCAATTGAAAAGGGGTCAATAAGGAAATCTATAAACACTGCAAATCAAGGACATCACCAGTCATGACGTAACCTAATCTGACCATGGCAAAGCAATACTAGCCACAAGATAGAACTGTTTGCAAAGGTTGGGCTTCATTCGCCGGATGGCGGAGGCATCAGCAAAACGAAGCAACCTCGGGTTGTTCTGTCTGCTGATAACCTTGATAGTGCCACGTGGGTTTTCGCACAAGGTGCAATCCAGAAGACGCTGGGTGATTGAGCTGGCAAGAAGTTTAGGGCCACTATTTGCCGGGTTCCGTGAAACATGATCCTAGTTGATAGCCTTCTCTCGGTTCGGCCAATGTACGTGCCACCGCAAGTACAAGTGAATTGGTAAACACATGAGGCGGTAACCTGAGAGCGAGGCTTATGCAAGTTAAGTTCATGAAACAGCTTCTTGGTTTGACGTAATAACACGAGCTCAGCTGCGTAGTAGCACCATTTTATCGGTAGCACAGTCTGTCGTTCTGTTCCCCTTTGTATGGTAGCGTGATGAAAAGTTTTTCTTTGGAAAATCCACCCGCTTTACTTTCTTAGCAACCTCATTCCCATACCTGGCAATAACTTTGTTCGGATAGCCGTTATTGCGTAGGGTAGACTCGATGCATCGTAATACAGCCTCGATTGACTCTTCAGAGCATATTCGGCGTGCTCTAACAAAACAAGTTCGAACTGGGGATCGTTTATAGTTCATTGAATAGTAACTGTTGAAATGTAGGTATTGTCCGGTCCAGCTCGGTTTCCGGTAATCGATCTTATGAGTGAAACATCATCTCTTAAGTGCAACATCAAGCAACTGAAACAAAGCATCTGATTCAGTTTTCATAGTGAACTTGATGTTAGGAATGCATTTTTTAGCGTTTCCAAAAGAACTTTCGCTTACTGGGTATTGTCAACTACAACAAAAGTATCGTCGATATACCTTGTGTACAAGTGTGTTGCCCCAATGACTTCGCGTAATATGTTACTCTTCAGATGACCCATGAGGATGTCAGCTAGAATCGGTCCGAGAGGGCTACTCATCGCAGTGCCTTCAATGTGACCATACATATTTCCGTCAAAGCAAAATTAGACGTCTTTCGTACAAATGCTGAGTAAGGTCTTTAATCGATGTGCAGACAGGCCAGCTTTGTTTAACTCCGTCAACCTCAGACGCGAGTAGTTAGTTTAATGCTGTCAGTGGACTTGGCTTACCAGTTTTACATCACAGAGGCTGAAGAATCTAAATTTATCATGAAGGAAAATTTTGATTCGTTGAAACAGGTACACCGAAATGAAAATGTTGTGTTACTGAGACCTGACAGGTGCTCTGGAGTTGTCCTCGTGCTTAAAAATAATTCGTACGTAGAAATTCGTCACATCTAGCCTCACCCAGACAGCCATCACACCCCCGGAAGAGCACTACGCGCGTTTAATGCTTTCGGGAATCCTCAGCATTGCGCATGCCATTTGACCCCGAAACTCGACTGTTGCCAGTCCGTGGTTGAGACCACTGAGCCGTCCCCCGTATCTCAGTGGTTTTAACCAAGTACGAGCAACAGTCGAGTTGCGAATTCGAGCCCTACCAGGGTCTGATGGATTGCGCACTGCTGATGATTCCCGAAAGCATGAAACGCGCATATAGTGCTTTTCCGAGCGTGTGATGGCTGTCTGTGTGAGTCTAGATGTGACGAATTTCTACCTATACCATTAAACTCCCCCTACTACTCCTCTGTAAAAATGATTCATCCTCATCATTATACACGTTGTCTGCAGGTGGAAAACACCTCTGCTATTGTGTCGCAATGCAAAAGACAAGAAAATTACAAGAGAGGCGCACCGGATGGACATCATTCCGGAGAGCTAACAGCGGGCTATCGTGCCGCAGAACGTTTTATTACATCTAACGAATGAGATCGTGGTTGCGGGAGGAGGCTAAGCGGGGGGGGGGATGGACAAAGGAACTCACAACACAAGCGCCATTGGGACCAGCTCCTAGCCATTTCAGCAAGTATGTCCAACTAAACGTGTTCATCGTCTTTAGGACCCCAGCCAGGCAGTCGGAATGCACCAATGGACGCCAATTTCGATGTGAGGGTTTTCATTTTTCTCGACCAAATCATCGCTTGCCGTCCGCTCTTCCTCTTCCAACCGCACGCCCGGCGTGCAAACGACGCTCCTCGCGGGAGTCGGTGTGCTGGCATGTGCAACACATGGCCCAGCCATCGGAGCCTGGTGTGTGCTATAATGGTACTGAGCAGTTCACTCGCTCTTCCTTCACCTAATACGCAACGTCAAACACTCTCATTGCTCATGCGATGCTTCCACCAGACATGAGCTAAGTTGCGAAGGCAGCGATGATCGAACCTGACCAGACTCTTTATTTTTGTCGACCTGATGGGACAGATTCCACAACGGTATAAGAGGGTTGAACGGTCGGCTGCATTATAAACTCTACCCTTCAGGGAGAGAGTGATGTTGCGTCTGTTCCACAGGTGGCGGAGATTGGCAAAAGCACTTCGAGCTTTTTCCATACGGTTCGTAATCTCAGCTTCAATCCCTTGAGCGGTAATATAGTTGCCCAGGTACTTGAGTTCCTGAACGACTTCTAACTGACCACCACCAAAGGTCAGCGCAGGGGTGGCTCCCTGCCGTCATTGGAGAAGAACTTTGCATTTCTATGGGGCAAAGCATAGTCCAAAACGATTGACAGCCAGCGCTAATCGGTCCATTGCAGCCTGGCACGTTTGGGCGCCGTCAGATATGAGGGCAATATCTTCTGCATACTCCAAGTCAAAAAGTCGTTCACCAGCAAGTAGCTGCACACCTTCTAGGTTGTGTCCAGCGAACACTGTTTCCAGGACTCCATCAATGGCGAAGTTAAAGAGGAAGGGTGACAGCGGGCACCCTTGTCTCACACTGCTGGAGATATGGAAGGGGGCGACAGTTTGCCATAAATCTTCGATCTGCCTGGACTATGCGCGTACAGCGCTTTGATAATGTTTACATATTTATCGGGCACACATTTTCTCAACAGACAGTTCCAAAGGACACATCGATTCACCGAATCGAAAGCACCTTTGATGTAGAGAAAACCGACAACGGTGGGTCGCCAATAAACATGGCAATGCTCCAACAATTGACGCAAAGTGAAGATGTGGTCGATGCAGCCTCGATTTCGATGAAACCCGGCTTCCTCTTCGCGGATCTGGTCTTCACGAGCGCCAGTCAGTCTGTGGGGAACGACTGAGGCAATCAGTTTAGAGGCAATCGAGATCAGACTGATCTCTCTATAGTTGCCGCATTCCGAACGGGAGCCTCCCTTAAAAATTAGGACTATGACGGAGCGGCTCAAATCTGTCGGGACAGTTTCTTGCTCCCAAAGTTCCACTAGCAATTCGTGTAAGTCATCCACAAGGGTAGGTCCCCTGAATTTGTAGAGAGCCGAAGGAATTCTATCTGCACCAGCGGCCTTATGCAGTTTCAACAGTCTGATCTCACCTTCGACTTCTGCGCGTGAGGGTGGATCTATGGAGACGGCCTATGGAGAATGGCACACAATATCCGAAGTAGAAAGCGATAACTCAGACTGGTTAAACTGCCTTGCAAAGTGTTCGGCCCAACGCTCCAAGCGATTTGACAAGCTGTGGATCGGCTATCCACACTCGCCGCGTGTTGTCTCGATGCTTATTTTCCCTTAGACGGAATAATTTACGATGCTTACCAACGGCAGCGGATGTTTCCATTTCCGATGCACGA